TTGTCAATAATAAAGCATGTTACTTTACAAAAAATTGTTGCTCATGAATTTCAGTAGGACCCTCGTATTTGTTACACAGGGTGTATATTCTTTGTTATAAATATAATTGACTCTGCATGAAGGAAACATTTATAATCTTGATAGATAATATATTATTTTTAAATATTTATTCTTTAATATATGCACAATAATATTAGAAAGTCATTTTTTATTAATATACATACATTCAATAACTTATATTTTATATGAAAGAAAATACTATAAAAATATAGACCTGCAAAATTCAACCAATCAATACTAAATTTAAATTCAGCATTTGCAAAAATAAATAATTATGCATTTTAAATGTACATTTCGTTTCACACATGTAAGTATTACTTAACAAAAGCAGACAGTAGAATACATTAAGATAAGAGTTAATATGGCTGCAATATTTATAATCATACTTGTGGCTTAACAAAAATGACTGAAACTGTCAATAGCTGTTCCTGCACACAAGAGACAAAAACTAAATCAGCTCAGAGTTAATGATGGTTCACAGTTATAGTGGCTGTTATCCAGCACTGTACATTTATACTTGTTAAGTCATCAAAATAGTCAAAGACAGTTCAAGAACTTATGATAAACACACATACAGAATATTATACTGCTCAATGTCTGTTACTGTTATCTCAAGCTCTTTTATTAGTGATTTCAAAACATTATGTACAGTGCAAAGCTTAGTGGCTGAAAAACTTGAAACCTGATACATATGGTATTGCAAAGAATGCTTTGAATGACAGTGGCTGCCCGTATAGTACAGGCTGTATGTCATATTTTTATTTGAAGTGCAGGGTCTGACCAGGAAACAAAATCACAGTTAAGTATAAAATACGACTTCATTACACATTTCAGAAATATCCAAACATCAATATTACAGTGGACACAGAAATAAACAGCCTGAGGAAAATTGGCATATGTACTTCTTGATGTTTCTCTACTTTATAAGTCAGAACATTGAAATGGAAAAGCAGAGCAATGTCGTTTCCAGTGGCTTACTTGCCTTTATGAGTAAGGCAGGAAAGGGGGGGGGGAGAAGTAGTTTATATTTTTGATAAAAAATGAACCATTAAATTTATGTTATGAGTGTGGATACCAAGGTATTAAACAGGGCTGCCAATCTTTATAACAGGATGGGTTCACTGTTTGATGTTCCCTTGGTGAGTTCACTTCCAGTTATGATGCACAGAGTCAGAAGCTGCCAAAGGTAAAGCGTGTGTCACACATACCAACCAGCAATCACGAAAGGAATTAGTGAAACTGATTCATTTATGGATAAATATGGATCTTGAATCAAGATTATAGGCAGAAGGGATGTGACAAGGAGCTGAGGAAGATTAAGTGGCCTGAACTAAATTTTAAGGAGGTTTAGATGGAGGTTTTGTTCATCTGTCACTGTTCTATTATCTGTTTTTTCAGACCAGGACAGTGCAGTGCTAGTTCATTCCATATTTCTCTTCATGTGTGTCCTGGTGATCACATCTAAAAACATGGTCTTTATATGAAGAATCTTAGGTTCTCACAGTGGTGATTATGAAAAGTTCCATTATCTGGGCTATAATGCTGTGTACTGTGTTGAAAGTCAGCCAATATTTTGGAGGAACATGTCACCCCATCTTGAGAGTCAAATAAACCGAACAAGAAGCCAGCAAGACGTATAGCCAGCAGCTCAAAAGATGTAGTGACATATTCCTCCAAAATATTGGTTTACTTTCAGTGGACTACTCAGTGTTACATCCCAGAAGACAGTTAGTGCAATGAGAACTGGATGGGAAAAATGAAGAGTTCAGAGAAAACCTGTCCAAATACCAAATTTTCTACCACAAATCCTATGTGACCTGACCTGGGATGGAGCTTGGGTGTCTGCAATGCAAAGCTGATGACTAACCACCTCAGCTATGGTACAGCCCAAGAAGTGTTAAAATCTTAAATTTCTCAACAAAGTGAGTTTGGTAATGTATCTGGAATTAATAAAAACTAGGAAACTGAATCCAAATATATTATTTATCCTTATTTTGACCTGCATTACTCCCTAAATTTATTAACATATTTTAATTTTTGTGTTTTATGAAAAAAGATATTTGTGTACTGCCAGAATATGGGTCATGTATGAAACTATCAACTCCATGTTTTGAATCCACAATGAGCAGTCTTCTGGCCAAAATTGAGTTCTTATAACAACATTTGTTTCAAGTAGATTCTAAAGGGTTCTGATGATGGTGTATAACACCCAGAATTACTGCGTTTTTGGACTTTTTCTATTGTCTGGTATTCTAAAAAAAAAAAACTGGAGAACACAATGTTTCAGAAACTGGATTTGTTTCCATCCTCAGATAAGGGGGACAGACACCTACTAGATCCAGTTTCTGAAACGATGTGTTCTCTAGGTTTTTTAGAATACTGGACTATGGACAATGTCCAAAAATCCAATAATTCTGAATATTTGTCTCACTGTTTTAAATTCAGCTACATTGAGGGGGCATAAGAGATTCATTGACCCCACATCCAGCTGCCTCTTTTATAAACATTTCATTGAATCATACATTAAATATTTTAATACATATCCAACACATTACTGATTATACATACATAAACTTTTCTACTACAGTGATAATTCATGAATCAGTTCATTTAACCCTTTATTGTAAGCATAATGAAGCCCTTTCAGAATGCCATAACTAAGCTTATTAAGGTCCACAAGAAAAGCATCATTAGAATATCATTTCATATACACCATGAAGCACATTCAAAGTTCTTCACAAAAATTCTAACTTGTTTACTAATTTAACAGCTTGCTATAATATGGTGTCAAAATATATTCATCTTGACAAACACACAGGCATTGTTGAGAAGTGCAAAATATCATTTTGTATGCACTATATATGGATTTTGTGTTTCATAGTTAAATTATACAATCACCTAAAAAGTTACATTCTTCATCTAATAAGTGAATTACATCACATCCTCAGCTCCAGTAATACAACTTTTTCTCACAATAATCAGAATTACCAGCATCTTAAAATCAGTACATGCAGAGTGCAGGAAATGTTTGGTGATACTTATTCATTTCAGATTTTTATAAAAAGATAAAGTTGTCCCTGTGCTTAATTAATCACCATATCATGAAGACCCATGGGAGAGTGAAGGTGTAGCTCCATGCATCCTTAACCTCAGAACTACAAAGAGGAGAATGGTGAGCTTTATGTAACAGCCATTTTATCCCTGGGAAAAGGGTCCCCAATATCCACTGAAGAGCAGGCATGGTGTGTTCTAGAGCCAGTATGGATGTTGTGGAAGAAAAAATCTCATGCCTGTGCCATGAATTGAATGCCAATTCCTTGGTTGTCCAGCCCACAACCCAGTGACTATACTGACTGAGGTGTCCTGGCCCCTTATATATATTTTTGTATATATAAGTACATATTAACAATGTACACATTAATGTAATAAATACCTACAGTAAGCACTTTCGTTCCTTAATACATTGTTTCTCAAACAGTGGGCCATGACCATCCAGGGTGTTACAACTTACTGCAATCAGGGTCACTCAAGAATTATTTACATTGTGCTTGCATCCATGCATACTTCTAGCAAGTTAGCAAGATTTAACATAGTGCTTTTAGAGGAGTTCTATTTCATTAATCCCAGTGACATCAGTACCTTTAACTGTGGGCAGTCATATACATTTATGTATTATTTTAGGTCACAGTCTGAGTACCTATGCCTTAATAGATTTCAAAACTTTAGAAAGCTAGGAAATGCAGTGGAAAAAAAAAGTTTGAAATCACACTATTAGTTGTTTTAAAAGGCTGGGCCCTAGAACTAATTTTTATGTTTACAGAATATTTTCAATTTCTATATTAAATCTTGCTGACTTGCTAGAAGTATGCATGGATGCAAGCACAAAAAATAAAAAAGTATATTTTCAATTAAAAAAAAAAAATATAATAATGCAATTTCAAATATATTTTAGCAAAAATATCATCTTTTCTCAAATTTCCTGACGATGTGACAGGATCAAGCATTAAGTAGGACTGGAAAGTATTTACCATTTAGGGATTAGAAGCTCAGAATATTAATGTGATCACCTGAAGAGACAGACAATTTTTAATTCATTTTGCTGCCACAATAGAATGACAAAATATGTCTCTATAAGCTTCATTCTCTTATAAAAAAAGATTGAGGTGTGCCTTGTGTGAAAGTGAAACAAGTCATTTTTACACATGGTTCTCTTTAAGAAAGCGGAAATCACGGTAAGAATTTTTCAAAATACGTAATAATTCTGTTATATAAATACCCACAGATGTTTCATAGGCCAGTTGGTTCAGGTGTCACAGGAACGGTGGACTATGGCAGAAGCCACGGAACTGAATTAATAAGTACAAAAATATAATTTTATATATGGCCATAGAAAGTATAGTACTTGTCAGAATTGAATGTCCACCCAACAGAGAATATTACATGTGAAATTATCATAAGGGGAGATGGGATAGCTCAGTTGGTATAGCAATTAGACTACAGGCCAGATGACTGAGAAATCATGGTTCAATTTCTGGCATGGGAAAGAGAATGTTTCCCTTTCCTACAGTTCCAGACCAGCTGAGGGACCCAACCAGCTTCCTATCCAGTGTGTACTGGTGGTCATTTCCCCAGGGGTAAAGTAGTTAGGCAAGAAGGTGACATCTCACCACCATATTGTGCAGAGGTTAAGAATGCATCAAACTGTACCTCCACTCACTCATCCATCTTCATGGAATGATGCTCAATTAAGGATATATGCTGTATCTTTTTTACCTTTATCTAATTATCATAATCATTATATATGAGGTATAAGAAAACTCTTACCTTACTCTTGTACTTAAATATATTAATTCTTCCAAGACCTACATAAAAGTGGTATAAAAATTAAGTCTACTGCACAAATCTTGTCATTTATTTTCATATAATTTGGGATGTGTATGAACTATGAGGATTTATTAATCGTTTTTGGACATGTAAATATTACTGTTGCAGAAGTTACAGCAAAACAAGGCAAAATGAGATTCCTGCTAAAAACAGTATATAAACCTTACAAAGGCATCTACAGTCTTCAGAAGTGTATATTTCCCAGTCCTTCAGTCTTCAAAGGATGGAGATACTTATGCCATTATTGTGCGCAAAACTTCCCTTTTCATGCTGCCAGATAATTTTATATGATAACCTCTTGTTGGATGCTACCCTCTACTGTGGCCAGGTTCATCCATTTTTGAAGATGAAAAAAGTTTATCAGTCTCTCTCTGCATACTTATACATGCCTAATAACAGAAATATATGCGTGGAATTGTGCATATACAGGTACATCTCAAAAAGCAAAATAATTCAAAGTATCCATAATGATTATCACAAATGGAAAAGTCATAATGAATCCATTCAGAATCAATTTACTAGGCACAGTATTATGTAGTTATTCCATAATATAAATGCAAATATACTGACTCTCATACATAATGAATGATCTGAGAAGTAACTACACAGCACCCTCATCAGTTGGACTAAGCTTCAGATCAGATTTATGAAGTTCCAAAATGTTGTATGTTGCCACACATTCCAGTATATGTATCTAGCAACATGTGTTATGGCATCCTTCACATTCTGTGACCAGTCATCAGGGAATATGGAAAACTAGAGTGGGAGGTATAGACAGAAACCTTCCTTGGATGATGGCAGTATACTGTGTCACTACTGCATGCATATTCATTAAAATTACAACTGCAGTGATAGCTTGAAAAGTTTGTTATGAAATGCATGAATTTAAATTATGATAATTTTGACTTATAAGCATTCTTTTATTGAGTCCCCTCTCCTCTCAGTTATCATGAATTTTCAAGACTGTAATACCATACATCTGTACTTCCACTATTTTCAACATATGTAACTATAAAACTCATTATGCTTACACACATTACGATAAGTACAAATAACAAAAGCAAGGTTTCTTTAGAGATACAGCTTATGTTGTCTGGGTTTATCTGCAAATAATGTTACTCTCGACCAGATGTTAGCAGCATCTCATCTTCAGGCAGAGGTTGCCTCTTGAATCTAGGTTCAGTTACAAGGTACATCACAAGACCAGCAAATGCAACCAGCAGTACTCCAATAAAGTTTATCAAAATTCCCTCAGCAGGCAGTTTAGCATAATTCCTGTGGATTAAAAATATACGATTTAACATATTCATCACACTTAAAATGTTTATTAAACAGGAACTTCAAAATTCCCAGTCATTTACTTCCTTTATAATAAAACATTAATTTATATTAAATATATCAACTGAAATATTCAATGAGTAATTTCCCCCTGCCAGTGTAATCTCAGTAGATGACTTATCTTTGCTGTATTAGTAAATCAATTATGTGAACATGTCTGCTAGAAGAGCAGACTTTTAACCTCTTTATACCCTATATAAAAATGGAATCCACAATAAAACCAATCGATTTCATGCTGCCAGCACTTTGTTGTCTTACATTCTACAAAAATATTTGAAAAAAGCTGCATATTTTTCAGAGATCTGATGTGTATCATTTGAAACCCCCATACCAAGTTCCATTTCCACCGTACAAGTTCATACATCAGTCATATTGTTATCACCAGTTGTAGCAAATTAAAAAGTTCAAGATTTGAGTGTCCTCCTTGCAGAATGTTCATTTCACGAAAATTTGTCAACTCAGTTTAAAGATTACAGGTGAACATGCAGATAGAAGGGTGATCTCACAAGCCTGCTTTCTTTCCTTAAGAAAAATAGGCAAATAAGAGTCTTATCTACCATGTAAGTAGTAGGCATCATGCTGTACTCACGTATTTAAAGTCCATAAAACTTTCTCTGTTAAACCTAGAAGAGCAGCTATCACAGCTGCAATGAAGCCTGCGAGACCAAAGAACACATGTACAGGCATGTATGTTGCTCGTAGAGGTGACTGAAGCCCAGGGAAGAAGAATGTGACAAATCCAGAAGCCCACTATGATGTCATAAAACCACGACATAACAATTTGAGTCACTATGCATTTGTTACAATTACTTCATGTCTGAGTTTGAAGTCTGTCAATGAATTTATATATTTCAAGTCTTACCCTACATGAAATCATTGGATTCAGACATGTTACTAACCATTTCCATGCTACAGATATGCATGTATGTTCTCTGATATGTTATGTTAGGTTAATTTTGGATAGGTTACAGACACAGGTTCTTTGATGTTCTTAATTCTAAATTAACCCAAAACATCTGCACAGCAAAGGTTAAATATTACACCTTCGAAGGTGAGTATAAAAGTTAAGAGTGTCGGTGCATAAGCTTCCAAACGTGAGAATTTCATTAAGTTTCTTAAGGAAATGGAAAGACAGAAGTTACAAGAATTTTCAATGAACCATAATTCATTCACTCAGCATAGGTTGGAATTTTACTTCATGATGGACTAGTGTTCTAGTTCTTCATAGATCCTGTCCTTTATGTTAACAATTTTATCTTCTGTTGAGCCGTGAATATTCATAACAATGATATCACATCAGTGACCTTTTAGTATCATATATGATATCCTATCACTGATAAATTCTACCCTCTTAACAGCTGATATGATTCTCTTATGTAAGTAAAAACCTGTACCTAATTCATGATTTTCATTCCCCTTTCCATAGAAAAATGAATCTACTGGGTGATAATATAGATACCATAAAGAAGAACACACAAACTTTAATTGACGCAAGTAAGGAGGTGGGTCTAGAAGTAAACACAGAGAAAACTAAGTATATGTTGCTCTTTCATCACCAAAATGCAGCGCAAAATCATGACATAAAGATAGGGAACAGATGTTTTGAAAATGTGGCACAGTTCAGATATTTGGGAACAATGATAACAGATCAAAACCTGATTCAGGAGGAAATTAAGAGGAGACTGAACTCGGGTAATGCTTGCTACCATTCAGTCCAGAACCTTTTGTCTTCTAGTCTGCTGTCCAAAAACATAATGATTAGAATATACAAAACTATAATTTTGCCTGTGGTTCTG